AGGCAAAAATAGCAGCTTAACATAAAATCTTGTGTCAGTTTTAAGAGAAATAACTGACGTAGGTCCCCTCTTCTTCAATAAAATGAAAAAAATGAAAAAAGGTTTTTATTCCTGGCCTTTTGAAGAACAGATATTGGATAACACTCAAAATTAATAAGAATTATACAAATTCTGCATCATTCTAAGCCATTCTTGATTTATTTTAATCTTGAAATTCATGACCTGACAAATTTTGTGACAACTATATATTTTTGAGAACCTGGGACCACAGGTGGATTTGTTCGAACAGCATTCCAAGTTCTTCGCTTACATGCTCGAAATGACTCTGCACGAAAAATTTACAAATTAAATTTGTCAAAAGCTTTAGAAAGTGAAATCTAATGCACTCAGTAAATTTGTTTTTTCTGTGTGAGGAAATCAGCTTTTTCATTACCATCAGTTCTACAATGGAAATGAGCCTGCTTGGCAATTAGTCTGAGTTGAAAGTGTCTTGAAATTTCTAAAGATGTCTGCAAATATAGCTTTGATATATATACAAGTGAAATCTATTTAGCCTATTCTTAGTATCAGTAATATTAGGTGTTTTGCAACATTAAATGGGGTACAAAAAGTCCATTATGATATCTTCAGTGATGAGATCTACGAAGTTTGCACGCGTCCTTTGCTCAAATTTGTCGTGCAATTGCAAAACCCATGTTCTTTTTGTTTGCTTATTACTTATTCCAGGGAAAAAAACGTCTTGCATGTTGTAACCCGTACTTTAACAATACGTTAAATTTTACATTAAAACATGAAATATAAATAAATTATTTTAGGATTTCCATTCGAGATGGTTTTAACATGAAAACTGCATAATGGAATTTCTAATAGTGTAAAGGAAGGTATAGTTATTATAAAGACTATTAGTATTAATAGAGGTGAAGCTAAGCAGGCTTTAAGCTTAACGAAAAGTGTTTCCACAATAAGACCTTCTTTGACTCACATGAAGTTTTAAAGACAATGCTAAATGGGGAAACCTTTAGCAGATTACAAAATTTTTGAAAAATCTCTGCTGGTTCTTAAAACCTTACAAATGATCAACTGATGTGAGAAGAAAAGTGAGAGGCAACTTCTGGCACAAATTGTGCACATCATGAAATTTATTTGCTATTTTATGTAATTTCCATGATATTTCTTATTTAATTTTTTTTTCATGCACAGTTACTATTGTTTTCCGTTTTTGTAAAAATTAAACATAATTTGGTATTTTGAATTTTATAAAATAAGTGTGTGCTCTTTGTTAATATTTTAATAGCTCACCACTAGATATTTTAATCAAAATTTTATCTAGGTTGATAAATTACAAATTTAATATATATTGCTCAAAATATCAGATTATGTAGCATAATATGAATATTTTTTAATAAATTTTTAAACTCTGCAAATTTTCTTTTTTAATACTATATTTTAAAAATTTTTTGCGCATGGATCATATGGATAATCACAAAGTATAACTTGAAGTTCAAAAATTTCAAGTGTTTGTTTTCTATGTATAAGTAAGTTGTTTTTATCAATTTAAACACTTCATCAGTCATTTCTTAACATATTAAATATAGCATTGGTCCCTAGGAACCAACCTTAAACCAAGCAAAATAGAATTGTTATTTAACATGTTAGATATTAGGAAAACATAACATTAATGTAAACCATTGTAAAACAATAAATGATTATTACTAATTATTGTAACTAAATGCACACTTATACTCAGATACCACCCATTTGTCTTTAAAACCGTTTTTTTGACTCTTATACAACACTGGTATAATAAACTGAATGATGTTAATTTATTAAATCTGCTTGGAGAATAACAATTATAAAAGAGTCCTTTGTGTGCAGTTATTCTGCTACTAAGAACAATTATTCCAGATGAAAAAAAAAAAAAAAAGTTCCCCAATCAGTTTCAATATAAAGAATAAATTATGATATATCATGTAATGATAACTTCATCCGAAGATTCTGGAGCAGACTACAGTGAGAAACTTTCTATAAAATGGTCACAAAATTTTCACACTGAGAAAAATTATTACTATCTTCCATAATTAGTATTCATCAGCAGTCGAGTGGATAAGACTAAGAAGCACTAATACGAGTAGTTTGAACACTGGTGGACAGGCTAGCTGCATGGGATATTTCTCTTGTGCCGCTTGAACAGAAGTCATATTCTTTTAAACATATACTTCATGAAAGTCTTCTACCCTTAAGAAGATACTGTTTTCCTGCTTTGCAATAATGAATTAAATAAATTATTACCATTGATACAGAACTTTTTTAAAAAAAAAAAGAAAGAAAAAACACTTATACAATCTTTACCAATTGAAATATTTTTATGCATTGCTACTGAATATGCATAATACAGAATTATGAAAACTCACCACAATTCCACAATCAGAAATGATAGCAAATTATAGGAACATAGGCAGTAGATGTGTAGACTACAATATACAATTTGTTGCTCTTTACAAAATAAAAATTAGAGGCATCCAATGGTGTGATAGCTGTTGGTTGGAATATTTTATTTGTACAGAAAAAGAAAATGCTTTTGGATTTCCAAGAAAACTTATACAGAATTTCTGCTAGGGATTAATATATGACATCTGAAATCATAAGCAAGTGGAATTAAAATTGCAGCTTAAAGACTGTGTGATTTCCTAAAATATAATTACAAACCCTGGAGACTAATGAAGGTGATAAATTACTTGCATATTATTCAGAAAAGTCTTGGCAATGAAAGAAAATAATGTACATAGTAACACATACGGTGTAATATAAAGTGTAAAATACCCCACAGATTCATCATGAATAAAAATTACTTGATTGTGCTAATATTCCAAGACTTTAAAAATTACATCTTTATTTTTACATAACACAATGGAAATGAAACAGAATTATTTCGATGGAGAATAATGCATAAACAAGTTTCATGTTAATTTTTTCAATTATTTTTTTTTCTTTTGGGAGTTACTGGGTTATTTTATGAGTTATCCCACATCAGCATTTTAATATACAGATTCTCTGAATAATCATTGTATTTTCTCTATTTCAGTAGGAGCTTTTGTTAATGTGATTTTTGCCTACGGAAAAATATACAAAAGAGAAATTTCTAAAAGTTTTAAAAGTAGTTTAAATTTAAAAAAAAAAAAAAAAAAAAAAGACATTCTTAAAATATTTTTCTTTATTGAATTTCACGATGTTTAGAGTACATGAAATAATATGAACCTAGATATCAACAAGCATTTTCAAATACACAAAGAGCCCAGAAATTTCAAAGTAAGTAATTTTTTATCAATTATTATTTTTCACCCTTTATTTAAAAGTGTAGCAAAATGTTATTCAGTATTCGAGGTTAGCCAAATTGAGTGGAATATAAAGTTGTATTTGTTTTCGAAATTGAGGTTTACATACTTTCACTTATCGCCCTTCTACAGTAAATTAAATATTAAATCATATCAGGGCAACACAAAATAACCAAAACAAATGAACTACTTCTACCCAAGAAATACGAACAAGTTACCATAACATTAACAACTGCTTTCTTGTATACCAGTTTTGCACAAAAATTGCGTTTGGCGATCGGAAAATGACGCCAAAAGTTCCTGGCGCAACGGTTGTCTCTGATTGGTTGAATTTCTCCAGTTCCCGGCGGGTTTTAGCCGCCCGTGTGAAGTTGTTTATTCAACCCAAACGATGTATGAACTGTCTCCGGTTTGGACATGTCAAGAAAAATTGTAGATCTGAAAAAGTTTGCTCGGGATGCAGCGGCAAACACGAAAAGAAGAATTGTCAAAGTGATAAGAAAGAGTGTGTAAACTGCGAAGAGGCTCTGGATAAATTTGGTATTGCTATCGATTGTGAACATGATTCTCTTTGGAGAGGTTGTCCCTCACTTTTAAGAGAAAAGAAATTTATCGAGGAACATTTGGATTTGGAAATATGATTAGTATTGGATACTGCGGTGGGGAGAGTTACTTATTTATAGTTTTATTTTTATTCCTGTGGCTTTGGTTTTAAAATAGTTATATAGTGTGAAATAAAGATCTATAGAATTTCCTGTCAATTATTTATATAAAAGAAGATTTATAGAAGAATAAACAAGTGGAAGACTTGGAAGGACTTATTCCCTTGCCTCCCAGGTAAGTTTAGAAAATTAGTAAGTGATTTTAATTGTAAATATTGATTTTAAACTGTATATATTTGATTTTATATTATACACATATATATTTGATGATTTTATCTTGAATTCTTTTAATTATGAAAATTTTAAACTGCAACCTTAATCACTGTAATGCTGCAGCATGCCGGCTCTCTGCAATAGATAACATTTTTGAGGACATTCCGGATATTATTACTATACAAGAACCCTATTATGTTGGAAATAGAATGGCATATACTAAAAATAGCTGGAGGACCATCCATGCAGATAGAGGTAGATCCGCTGTGGTAGTTGTGAATTCCAAGATTGAGTTCCTTGTTAGATGTACCTCAGATATTATAACTGTTATAGAAATTCAAGAGGATGGAAGGAATTTTGGAGTGATCTCGGTTTATTTTTCTCCAGTTGAAGACTTGAACAATTACCTTTTGAGATTGGAGGAAGTCTTATCTAATTTTAACTTTTTTATAATTATTGGGAATTTTAATTCAAAGAATTTTATATGGGGGCAAAGAGTTTGGATGAGAGAGGTATTTTAACTTCGGATTTTATTATTTTAAATGACTTGATTTTACTAAATAAAGAAGATTCAAAACCTACTTTTTCCTCTGTACGGGGAGATGGTTATACTGATTTAGTGCTGTGTTCTCCGAGAGTTGTAATAGAGAATTTTGATATGAATATCTTGGAGGAAAATTCACTTAGTGATCACAACTATATTGTAGTAAATATTAGGGATATTTGTGATAAAAATGAAGAAAAAGTTGTTTTGTCAAACAGTTTTAAAAGAATTGATAGATGCTGTATGAGAATGAGGAGACTTATCTTGGAAATCGAAGATCGACTTGTTGATATAAATGATGTCAAGGAATTTAATGATTTGATTATCTATATGGAGAAACAGATTGAGGGACGGATGAAGAGAGATTTAAGATGTAAGATTCGACAGGGTGGAAATGCTAATTGGTGGAATCAAGATTTGGATCTTTTTAGAAGGAAAATTCGTGCTATTCGTAAGAGTTGTCAAGTAAAAGGTCTAGATGAAGATATAAGAATGAGAAGAAAAATAGAATATAAGAAGTGCTTGGCTTTGTATAAAAAGAAAATTAAAAAAGTTAGGGGTGATTTTAAAAATAAGATTTTGATTCAGAATAAAGAATATTATGAAGGGATATTTAAAATCGCAACAAATAAAATCAGGAGGCAGATTATCTTACGAGATGATGAGAATAAAACGGATATTGATGTTAAAGAGGAATATCGACGAATTGTTAGAGAGACACTCAATATTGGGGAAGATGAAATGGATAGATTTGATAATAATGAGATTGAGTTTAGTAGTGAAAGTTTGGAAGATGAAGTGGATTTTACATATGAAGAAATCAGAGAAGTTATATTAAATCTCAGAGATAAAGCTGCTCCGGGACTTGATGAGATTCGTGCAAGAGTAGTAAAAAGACTTTTTGTAAATTACCCCTCTTTTTTTGTTATACTTTATAATAGGTGTCTGTCTTTAAATGTTTTTCCGGATGCTTGGAAAGTTGGTAAACTAATTTTGTTACCAAAAAATGAAGAAAAATATTGCCCTATATGTTTGTTAAAGGTATTTGCCAAAGTTTTGGACAAGTTGATTGTTAATAGATTATTATATGTTTTAAATGGTAAACATCATTTAGCGGATAGTCAGTATGGTTTTAGAAAACCAAGATCAGCGAATTTGGCTCTTTTTAAAGTTGTGGATGAAATACGAAAATTGAAGAGTACTGAACATGTTGCTATTGTTTCTTTTGATGTAAAAGCTGCCTTCGATTCTGTACGATGGTCCTCCGTGTTGAACATAAATTGATTGAGTTGTTAGGGGTAACAAAAAAGTTGTATATGCTTATTAAGGATTATTTTAATAATAGAAGTATAGTTTTTAAGGGTGTATCAGAAAATATTGATATAAATTTGCAAATGTATAAAGGATGTCCGCAGGGATCATGTAGCGCTCCCCTGTTCTGGGCCCTTATAGTTAACCCACTCCTGACTAGTTTTAATGTTCCTAATGCAAAACTTATATGCTACGCCGATGATATTTTACTTCTTATCAGTGGCACCTCTTTGGAGAAAATTCAGGATACATTTACTGAAGTCGAAAAACAGATGATTTAATTGGAGTCAATGTGAAAACATTCAATTTAATGTGGATAAGACTTTTGGACTCTTTTTTCCTAGGGGAGGTGCCAAGACTAGAGTCCCGAAATTGAAATTTGATGGGAAAAATATTAGATTTCAGAAGAATATAAAATATCTTGGGTGTAGTTATTGATGAAAAATTGAATTTTATTGAACATTTTAAACTTTATACACAGAGATATTGATAAGGATTTTACATTTTTATAGGAGTACTTTTAATGTAGGAGATATTACAAAAGAAAAGCACCAATATTGAAGAAGATTTTTTAATTGTGTGTTATTTTACCGAAAATATTTTATGGTATAGGTGCTTGGGGTGCTAGGGCAGGGGAGCTGATCAGACTAAGAGATAAATTAAATTCTTTGCAGAGGAGCTGGATGCTGGCTATTACTAGAGTCTCCAGGACTGTTTCTACGGAGGTGGTCTGTATTCTTGCAGGAATTCCTCCCCTCTCTTCCCAATATAGATTTTACTATCAAAAATTTTTACTTTTAAATGATTTGGTGAAGGAAATAAAGACTGATAATTGTAACATTAACAGCGATGCTTTCCGAAGTTTTGATGATAACTATATACATCCTGCTAATAGAATTTCGATTGTTTATGATTGTAACTATTTGAAATATCAAGAATTGGATATCTATACAGATCGTTCGGGGCTCGAGGGTGGTATTGGAGGTGCATTTGTTGTTTTCTTCTATGGCATTGAGATTCATAATTGTAAATTTAAACTCCATGCTATGAACTCTGTGTATCAAGCTGAGATGTATGCAATTTTTGAGGCTTTGAATTGGATTAAAAGGACTTTGAAAGTTGGTTATTGCATAAATATTTACTCCGATGACTTGTCGGTACTGCAATCCCTCTCGGGCCCGGAAAATAAAAACTGTTTAGTATTTGATATAAAAGATTTATTTTTACAATTGAAAAATATACATAATATTAAAATTCACTGGGTGAAAGCACATGCTGGTTATGATGGGAATGAGAGGGCTGATGAATTGGCAAAAGCTGCGATATTGGATGAGAATGTTATTGTGAAGTATATACCATACTCTAAAAGAAGAGCCACCTCCGTTTTATTTAATCAGGTCTTGTATGAGTGGAACACCAGCTGGGAACACTCTAGTAGAAACTATGGCTTGTTAAAAAATATATATGTAGGAAAAAAGATGGAAATGTATATAGATATTGATGTCAATCAGATTTTAACGGGACATGGTCGTTTTCCAGCTTATTTAAAAAGATTCAGACTACAGGATAGTGATAAATGTAAAGTTTGCAATGATCTTGGAGACTCGAAGCATTTTTTTGAAGACTGTAGTTTTACCGGGAGTGCAAGGGTTAAATATAGAAAACAACTTCACAGTGACTTTAAGAAAAATTATAAGAATCTTCAAGAATATTCTAGAGAGATTATGAGGATTATAAATTCGTCAAAAGAAGCCATAGGCATTTTTGTGTGAATGATGTATGTATATGTGTTTATTTGTTCTTACGTCGTCTTATTTTTTGTTTGTTAACAGTTATTATTATTATTTGGTTCTGTTCGTTTGTATGAATGTCTTAGGTCCAGGGATAAAGTGAATTTCCCTGGTCGTATTTATTATTTCTTTATGTTTTCCTTTTACTAACTTTTTTGTTACTCGGTTCCTGATGTTTGGTTTCCCGGGGCTTGTAGTTTTTCTTTTTGTTTTTCTTGTTCTCTTGTTGAGTGTTTTGAGCACGGCTGGATCGCTGGCTCGTCGTTTGTTGTTGGACGGGCTTGCTCCCATGTAGTCATATGACCAGGCTTGTCTTGGTTAGGTGGGCTGGGGGCTGCGCCCCGTAATTATACCGCCCTAGTTCTGTTGATTTGTATTTTGGGCGGTAGTGGGTGGCGTGTCCACCATCGAGAGGTAGTCTTTTTGCTTGACGAGCTGATACCTGCTTGATGGTTCAAGGTCCTCCTTGCTAGTGTATGCTTTGTACTAACATCTCTTTACAGATTCTACCGCCTTTGGCATACTGGAACTCCGGAGGGAAGATTGAGGCGAAGATCGACTTCTGGCTTCTTCTCCTACTGGGTCATCTACAGCAAGTTCAAGAATATCCTGAGGATCTTCACCCATGAAACAAGATCTGATACTGCCCTGTACTGGACACGCATTTTATGTATTTTTGTAGTGTCTCTGTAAGTTTTGTAATGTAATGTTTGTTGTCCCTGTGTTTTACTGTTAGGGTACGCAAACAACAGTCCTATCCTATTCAGAATATCTTAAGGGTTTAATTAAGTGTAATCAAGGTAATTAAGGTTTAATTAAGGGTATATTTAAGGGATGTTTTAAGGGTATATTTAAGGGATGTTTTAAGAGTCTAACTTGGACTCGTTTAGGGGTATAAAATTTGGGATATAATTGAGTGTATCATTAAGGTATATTTTGAATTAAGAGGAAAGGTGTAATAAAGGTATGTTTAATCTCGCGTTCTTTTTCAGCTTAATCTAGGATCTTTAAATATTGGATATTTATTCTATGTTTTCAGGTATTCGTGTTTCTATGCGATAGAATTTCTTTGTAAGAGCCGGTCATCGAGAGTGAGTTAAAAGTTTGTATAACTGGTAAGTTTGTTAAAGAATTTAAGTTAAAATATTTAAGTATAATTCCCCTGTATGACCTCTGTGAGGTTGGGGGTAAGGTAATAGGTTTATTTTGTGTGCAGCTCCATGTGGGGCTTTGTTAATATGGTATTGTAAATCTTCTCTCGGAGTAGGTAAAAGGTATTGTAAAGCTCCTGTTGGAGTAGGTAAAAAGGTAATGTAAACCTCCTCTTTGGAGTAGGTAATAAGGTATTGTAAATATCAATCTGAGGTATTGTAAATCTCCTTGAGAGGAATAGGTAAAAAGGTATTGTAAAGTCTCTCAAGTGAGAGCAGGTAAAAGGTATTGTAAATCTCCGTGTGGAGTTGGTACGCTTTTCCCTTGTAGTTGCCTTGGTTTTTGTTAATCACCTCTTTGGCAGAGGGCTGTGGTAGTCCTTTAATTTTAAGGTAAAGAAATTTGTAAGAGTTTGAGAGAATTCGTTTTGGAATTCTCTCTTTCTTTCTTTTTTTTTTTTTTTTGTGATTTTTTTCTAAGTTTGTGTTAGTTTTTTTATTTTTATTTTTATTATGTCTGAGGTCAATAAGGATTCCGCTCTTTCTCCACTTGTTGTGGATGAGAGTAGAGATAATTGTAATGCTCAGAGTTTGGATGTGCAGAGCTTAGGCTCTCAGAGTGTAAATCCTCAGAGTTCGGATTCAAATTTACAGAGTCTAGATACTCAGAGAGTAGATTTTTGTTCTTTAAACACTCAGAATTCGAGTTTGCAGGTTTCCAAAACTCAGAGATTGACTTCTCAGAATTTAAATGTTAAATGGAACGATGGTCATCGGTCCATGTCAGATGATTCTTTGGGTTCGGGATCAAATGTATTTATGTCAAATAATGAGGTTGGCTGTTCTATAATGGCTATTGTTAAGGAGACTTAACATTATTTCAACTATGAGGTCAAAGAAAATTGGTCTGCGTTTCGTCGACGTTTTGACTGAAAAAATGGTATTAATTAATGATTTGGCAAAAAATCAATGTTTAAAAGTTATTGAATCTAACCACGATACTGACTTTACGAAGGTCTTTCAACGTATTGAAGACCTTAGGACTGATATGAGTAATCAATTTCGACTGGTACACGACGATATACTTAGCATCAAGGAGCGTGTCATCTCAAATACTCAATATGTAGATCCTGCGGACCAGATCAACGATGCTGAACGAGGTAGAAATGAAGTAATTGTTTCTCCCTTGAATCGCGATGTTGATGTCTTTGACACTCTGAATCAGAATCTTCAAGGGAAAGTTTCTGCCTCTCCTCGCAAGTCTATCCAGCGCCGCAATGGATCTGTCATCTTTAAGATGCGATCGAATGATGACGCCCATGCTCTTGTGGATGCTGTTAAACGAGATCCAGTCTTTAGGGGTGTGCTTCGGGCACGGAAAAAGAGATTCATCCGACCTAAGATTATCATTTTTAATATTCCAAATTCTTTGTCATCCGAACAGGTCGGTATGGCTTTAAAACGTTATTGTGATTATCCTAAGGGTGAATGCGTTAAACAACTATTTTCTATGAAACATAAATCGAATCAAAATTTGGGACATCGCGTGTTCTCTGTTTCGGCGAAGTGTCAAGCGTATGTCGTTGAAGATGGTCACATCACTATCGGATGGCGGACATTTCCTTTGAAATTGTTCCTACGCCCTCTTCGTTGCTTTAAGTGCCAGATGTATGGCCACTCCGTTAAAAACTGTCCAAATCGTGATTGCTGCGGACTTTGTTCTGAAGAGCATTCTACGAGAGACTGTACATCGGCTTTTTTTTTGAGATGTGCCAACTGTGTACACTATTGCAATGAATTCCGTGAACAGTTGAATTGTGATCATTCCGCGGATTCTCACTCTTGTTTTGTTTATGGAAAACAGATTGAATATATTAAAGCACATACAGATTTTGACACCTGATGGCCGTCGTTCTATGTTGAGGTTTGTTTTTTTTGCATTATGATATGTTTAACATGCTTTTGATGATTATGAATTCCTTTTGATGACTGGCTCACTTAGATCATAGGTTCTGTTGTTTGTATTTTTTTG